CGGGATTTTTCCGGCCCGGCAACTCAATACTATGGTCACCCCCTTTATTAATGCTATCTCAACAGTAATATGATTACGAGTATCCCTTATAGTCACTACTTCTGGGGGGGGTTCCACCTAAAGGATAAGTCAAACGCACAATCTTCGCCCAGCATGGTTTTCGGTAAGATATTCCTTTTCGGAGTAGCATTGGAAAGCGAGTTCGGGAAGTCTCGCAGCATCTGGAAGAGTGCTGTGAATTCTCCGACCCTAAACCCTAAGCCCAGTAATCGGTAAAACAGTTCTTTCCAGCTTCTCAGAGACCATGCTGCCCGCACTGCTAAAGATCTAAAGCCCAACAGCCTGGAACCCCAAACTTTAAACCTTGAATCTTAGAATCTCCAACCTAATTAAGCTGTGACACTGTTGAATATCGCGACTTCCAGGCGAGGTTCATGGTACGTGTTTGAAGGTTGCCTCAAATTGATCGGTTGTAAGACAGCCTCACCCAAATGGTTCAGGTACCTCTATCGTATGTAGGATTTAGGGTTTAGGGTTTAGGGTTTTACTTGGGCTCGCACCTACATAGGTACTTTGGGGCCAAATTATATACTATAGAGGTACCTGGACCCTTTGGGTCAGATCAACAAACATAAAACCCGACACCACTGCTGGTTTTAGAAAGCCCCAGGCTAGTGGTGGTTTAGGGTATAGGGTTTAGGGTATAAGTCCTTGGCGATCAGTACCGGGGCTAGGGGCCACTTCTTCGGGTTGGAGATTTGAGCTACTATCAATATTAGCCTTCTTAATAGGGAGGCCCTGAACAGTGGACGTAGGGGTCTTTCTTGTGGTTAAGTATAGCCCTTGTTATTGCGCTTAAAGAGGAACCCATGTCCAGCAAAGCATCTAGGAAAGGTTGACTGTAGCTCATGTGAGGATTCATCATTGCAATGCTTGGCAGCAGCAGAGAAGAATGGATACCTGTACAAAGTGATCTACCCGTGACTCCATGCCTGGTCAACCGGAAGGCTTCTGGCCTCAGACTTCTCATTGGCACTTATCTAGGACACTAGCCCTAGGCCTTTAGCTTTTTGTCGTTCCCCCATTCCTACTACAGGTACTTGGAAGTTAGCTGTTCAAAAGGAATGGTAAGTGCTGTGGTGACTTCGACATACGGCGTACCCAGCAGTGATGCATTTCAGCAGCAGATAGCAAGTTCAGCGCAACCAAATGGTTTTCGTTTCTCGACAGCATTTTTGCTGACCAGGCAGGCAGTCACTGCCACTGCTACCAGGGATAGCGGGTTTAGGCTTTAGGGTAATGGCCCGCAACAGCAACGTCGTCATGTACAACAACGACAACAACAAACCGCAAGCCACTGCCATTGCTTCAACTACAGCAGCTGCAGCTGTTATTGGAACTTTGTGGTCACATGGAATTTCCAAAAGTGTAATTTCCAGAAGTAGGGGTCCCTAATGGACCCTTTACGTTGCTGTCCTCATTATATGTGGGGACTCCACGACGGGGCTGATTTTTTGGGAAGCCCCCAAATAGCGCTGACAGCCAAAAGCTCCTACAATCCGTGCGCCCGCCATGGGCCCAGTGCTTCGTAAACGATGCCTCAAGAGGCCGAAAAAACTGACCAGGCAGCTCTCCACCTGTGCAGTAAGCAGTTTCAGGCTTATAATTAGGGTTGAGAGTCTGGGGTTAGGGCCAGATGGGCATACATAGGGCCAAAGCGAGTTTAGGGCTTCCAAAAAGTTAGAGGCCTCTTGTGGGGAGTCCCTATGATAGGGGATTATTCGGGCCCCCACCCTTCAGGGAAAGGGCTTCTGACAGGGTCCGCATACTGATGATTATAGTCCCCCTTAATTAGATAGAATATGGGGTATGTGGGGATCTTATTATAATGTACCCAAAGCCATATTCTATCTACTTGAGGGGGACTATACGCCACTGCAGCAGTATAATGGGCGGATCTTGAGGCACTTCTGTATGACAGTGCAAACGGCAGCGGTACCCTAAAAAACTGTGGCCCGACATTCCGGCTTGTAGGTGCCATGCCGGAAACTAAGGTGTTGCTGCCGGAAATACCCTAAACCCTAAACCCTATAATCATCAGCCGACTTAGACCCACCCACCCCCGACCCTGAGATTTTAAACGATCGCTCGCAATTTCTCGGGTAATGCGAAGATGTTTCACTGAGGTGCCTCTGAATGCACAACGTCTTAACATCTTTTTGTTTTTTAGCAAAAATCTCGGTGCCTGAGAAAACTCTTACCATTTTTTGAACAGGTTCGTTCAAACATTTGTGCTGGTTCGACCCGGGGGGTCGAGAACTGTTCACCAACCCTTTTTAAACTGCTGTTGCCGGAGGTGGGGCTTCCAAGTTCGCTGGTAAAGTAATACATACAGCGGGGAGGGGTCTTGAAAAAAGTGAGGAACTGAAAATGGATGTCTGGCCTCTGAAGTCAGGATACAGGCAATGCGAAGTAGGGGCAATGGCGCAGACTTGTGTCAATTCATTCCCAGATCCGCTGCCACAAGTCTTTGTATCGGTTTCAGATACGTAGTTTTATGTTGGGGTAGAACTTGCAGGCGCAACTTGACTCTCAGCTTGTGTGTCTCTTTTCGATGCTTCTCTCTTTTCGATGCTTACTTGGAGGGTCATGCGGGCCTAGTAAGTTGGTTAGCAATCGGGTTAACTAGGGCTGTTACATGAGTCACAAGTCCCCTGACCCTTTGCATATCTTATTATTCAGATTTAACATGTTACACCTATGCCTGCAGTTGTTGGTGTCGATGTTGATCCGGGGTCTACCTTTTCACACTTTTGTTTGCAGGCGGCGCCTGCGCCCCGAACCGGTAACTGAGACATCCGCAGGCGCAGGCATAAGCGCTAACGTGCAAATCAGACGCTAAGCTCCCTTTCTTACAGGGGGCTACATATGGGGATCAAAGAGTGGACCACTATAGGGGTTATTCAGGGTGATGCCAGGAGTCTAGACTACAGCTTACATGCAAATGATACAATCCCAGCTGCTTCAGAGCAGAATTAGTATATCTCCTATAGCACTACAGTAGTTTCCATTTTCCTTTCCATTACACTCCCGGAAACTAACATGGAACCCCAAAAAGGGCCCCATAAAGACTACAGTACTTCTAAAAGGGTACTATATGGGTTTCCATATTAGTTTGGGGGAGTGTATCCCTATATATCCCCAATGTATGTGCCACGTAGGTTTGCAAGTGGTGAAGGTCCCAGGCCAGGAGTCCTTTTCTGGCGCCTCTTCAAGGAGGATCCTAAGGGTATTCCAAGGAAATTACAGGTCAAGAGTTACCCTGTACCTGTAGGGACCGAACTCATCGTCCCTATATACCTCTTATATGCTTTTGATATAAACATTTGCCATTGGAAATTCCCGTACTGTGATTGGTCCAAACCCTACAGTCTACCTGGACCCCATAAGTGTGTAAACTAATGGCCCCAAACACATTCTTATAGCCCTAAAGGTTATAATTTTACATACTTTGGGGGTCCAGGTAGTAATAACTGAACAAGGCACGGAATCTGAAACTGGGCCTTGTAGACACCTTTTAGGTCCCTGGTCCCATGTTTGTTTGAGAGCGCGAAACTCCTGCAACGCGTTGCTACAATCCTTGGGCTATAGTACCCCTTAAGTATATAGAATATGGTTTTGGGTATATTATAATAAGATCCCCATATACCCCATACTCTATCTACTGAAGGGGGACTATAACCGTCCTTGCCGCTAAGCCTTAAACCCTGTTTCCATCATTCTTTATATGATCTGGCTGTACAGAGTTTGCCAAGGGACTCTAATGTTGGGAATTGTCTTCTTCAAGGAAGGGTCACATGAAAGCTCCGGCCGGGCACAGACGGGATTTCAGGAAAGTGTTTTTCTTGGGGTAACTTCCTTGTTCTTTCTAGGGAAAAGGGGAAATAATCCCTATAAAATCCTTACAGAACATATTTCCACATTCTCTACCAAGAACCATTACGCTAAGTATTATGGGGATGTAACACTTTGCAACATGCATGTGCATTAGGTACTGCCCCCACTAATTAACTGGGGGATAGTTCTCATGTTATATAAAGCCCTTGATATGACCCTTATTATAGACTGTTAATGGGTGGGGGCAGGGCCCAACATGTGCATGTGACTGGTTTTGCGGAGGTCAGACAGCCGTCTCAGATTCTGCAGCTTCTCGGGAGAAATCTCCAGGCCCTTGGTTTCATGGAGTCATGTGTATTGCAGCTCTTGGATGAAAATCTGCAGTTGGAGGAAGTAGGTTTTAGGGTATAGGGTAAAGGGTTAAGGGTCTAGGGTTTAACCATGAAATCTTGAGCACGGCAATGCAACGCATATTCCTCCTCATGATCCACACTAGTACCCATTGTGTTTCTCGTTGACAGCTATAAATGTTTCTCAAGCATGCCCACTCCTGAACCCTAAGCGTCACATCCCTAAATTCAATGGTGGCGAATTAGTAGCGGATGAAGGCAAAGGATATGGGGCTGACTGTTGGGGAATGTAATGGTGACTGCTTTAGGGATCCCTTTCTGCGTTCGCTACTAACCACTAAGTGAGCCATGGTTTAAACTCCTTAAAGAGTGGTCATATAAGGGATTAAAAAGGGAAGCATTATAGGGCTTATTAAGGGGGGTAACTAGGAGTCTAGACTCTATCTCAAGGAAACCCTGAGCACAGGAGAAGAAGGACTCGGGGCCGTTGAGGCATCCCCCCAGAGCAGTCGCTCAGCTCTACATTGTAGGGTTTCTCTCCGCTAGGATGCACGAAGTGGGGTGGGCCTACAAAAGGGTTCTCTGATGGGCAATTTAAAGCGACCCCACCTTATATGAGTTATCAAGGGGATGCTAGGAGTTTAGAGTACAGCTCATATTACATAACCCCCCAAGAATGTAGTAGTCATTTCACCTTTAGCATCCCTCAAATTCCCCGCTATAACCAGAGTAAGCTTAGGCTTTAAGGTTTAGGCTTTTTTGCGGACATGGGTCCTGAGAAGTTCCAGTTTTTTTATTTGAGCTATTGTCAACATCAGCCTGATTAAGGGACTCCTCTTGTAGTTTAGTATAGTCGTTGATACAATCTCTAATAAGCAACCCATTTCCGTTAAACTATGTAGAAAATATTGACTGTAGCTCATATGATGTTATCGATCATGCATCACGCAGGCTACTTGTGACCAGTGTCTTCTTTTGAGCCTGGTGCCCGTTCATGTTGGAGCAGTGTTGCCCAGTACATCCAATTCCTCGATTCTTCTCAAGATCACAGGCCCTTGTGTGGGGTACTCATCTTGGTATGTTCCTACTATCTTCGGGATTAAATGGGACCGTAGTTCCAGAATCTAACCGCTTTCCACAATCTGCGCCGCGGCTCCTGATAGTGCAAGCAAAGGTCCGCTCCTATGTCCTCATATGGGCAACTGTCAATTGTAGCCTTAGTAAGGGAGCCGTAACAGTGGACATAGACATAGAGAGTAGGTTCTCTGACAAGGAACCCCTGTCCATTGAAGTGTTCAGGAACATTCATATGATCCCTGCCACGAGGGACGTTGGTTCCTACTGCTTGTGAACTTTTTTCAATGAGCCCGTGCTTTTGTGATCCTAAGCCCACGCCCTAAGCCCTAAACTTGAGAATCCTAAGCCATGAGCCCTAAACTCCGGAAGCCAAGCCTGAAACCCTAAACCTGAAACTTCAATCCCTGAACTCCAAACCCCAAACCCTACATCATACTAGCAACTTTTTGACATCACAAGTAGCAAAGCCACATCCTAATATCTCCCCTAGGAAACGGCACGCATCAAGCCGTCATGCCAAGGTTCGCCAATTGGCATCGCTGACCCTGCTATACAGGAGGTGATTGAGGCATGGGAGGGTCCTCTTTCTCTGTTTAGGGTTACGGGTTTAAGGGTTTGGGGGTTTAGGGTTAGGGCTTAGGGTTTCTCCAGTTACGGTCTACTTGGAGCTTTGTGGGTACTTCTCCTCCACTCATGATAGCCCCCCTTGTAATGGTTGTTTGTCTTTTGAGGGGGCTCATCATTCGGGATGCTGGAGGGGATTACTATAGGGGAGGGGATTTCAGGTCCCCAAATTTTCAACGCCTATCCTACAAATGAAGGAGAACACAGCAGAACATAACATAGACAATGAAATGGACATAGGGTTTTATGCTGGGGTTCATGGGGATACTTACCCATATTGTGGCCTCAGATGCCTACCGGCATAGAGTACCGCAAATAGGCATCACAATAAGATATTTAGGCCACGACAGCTATTAAGCTCAATTATGATTGTAGCTTCAACTTAACAATAACCCTAACCCTAAATCCTAAATATCCCTACACCCTAAACCTAAATAACCCTAAAGCCTACACCCTAAACCCTAGAAAATAATCCTAAACCCTACACTCCAAACCCTAGATAACCCTAAACCCTAAACCCGAATCATCTTGCAGACCCTGGGTTTAGGGTTTAGGGTTAGAGGGCTCACAAGAGAGATATGCATAGAGTTTCCAGTGAGTTCTGCTAACCCAATGAGCTCCAAGTAGGGAGGATGTCCAGGGATTACTAAGGGTCATAGTTGCGGACTGCGGGTTGAGGGTTTTTCGGGTTTAGGGTTGCGGACTGAGGCTTTAGGGTTGAGGGTTCGGGGTTTAGGGTTGAGGACTTAGTAGGGTTTAGGATGGTGAGTTTCGAGTTTGGAGCTACCTCTCCGAATGAGCTTCTGCACAGACATTTCTTGACGGCTCTATGTGTAGGTAGTGGGATAGTGAAGAATCCAATGAAGCTCGTACTTGGAGCATACACATTGGCTACTCTGGTTTTGTGAAACCTCATTAGTGCCAGAGTGTATTGTCATTGTTCAAGAAGCACGCGATAAGATGCTATTGCTCGGCTTATGACCGACAGTAACCAGTCTCTCCCGGGCTCTTCCATCCCGAATTTCTGCAGAAGCTGGCTTGCCGCCCAAAGCCTCTCCCTGAAGCTCAGACCTATACCCCCGATTCATGACCCTGAACCTCACCGCCCAGACTCTAAATCTCAAACTACAAGAGCCTAGTCCTGCTCCGCAAAAACATAGTTTTCTCTCTGTGGTCAAGGCAGCGTGGGCCCCATTTGCCATGGGGCAGGGTCACAAGTCCCCTGTAAGTTCCTTACTGGTTCTTAGTAGGGAATAAGGGAATCTATGTCTGTAGGGATTATATCCCCTTATTGCCTACTAAGAACCAGCAAGGTTCAAGGAAGCCATGTTCCAGCAGCCAGAGGCCGCAATACAGGCACATGCAAGAAACGCAAGGGGGCCACGCCAACGCGGGCAGGTCTCAGATGGACCGGCTCCTTCATTGATGTCCTACGATGAAAGTCATAACACCCTCCCCCCAAAATCAAGCCCTCCTACCCCCCTAACAGTAAATATTCTCACAAGCATGCAAGGGGAACATGTTAAGATTAGAGGGCTGCGGGTCTTCATATTGGGGGGGGAGATTCTTCGGTTGGGGTCCATTGAATGGACCCTACAGGCTTTAGACATTAGCCTTCTTTGGTTGAGGTCTAGAGACTAAAGGTAAGCAGAACCTTCACCCAAGTAACAACCAAACTTGGACCTTATCTCAAATGGTTGCTTAAATAGAACGTAGTCCAGATTGTATTATTCTACAATGGCCACAACCAAAGGTCCCTGGTTTCTCATGCGCGCAGCAGTTCAGGTGTTTTCTTGACGACCCATCCCTGCGAGTGCCGACCAAATAAGCATGTAGGTTCCTGCCCTAACATCCTAGACCCCCAGCCATGGAACCCCAAAGAGCCCTGTAAAGTCTTTGAACTATTCTTTACCAGGGTGAGATTCCCTGCTTCCTTGGGACGGTGCAACTTAACTTTATGGGCTCCCCAGTCACCCTCCCTCTTTGCTAAACCCTCCCGGGTTCTTCCCAAGTTTGTCTTATTTGGGGTTAAGCAAGGTTATTTCATTGCGGAAGAGGGGTGGTTAGGAGAATCTAAAAAAGACTCCCCACATTCTGGTGACCACTAGCTTGCCAGGCGATTGAAAGTGATGGAGGCGAGCTGTGGCAATAGCATTGCTTGTCTTTCTGGTTGTGAGTACCCAGACCCACTAAAGCATCCCCCATAAAATGGAGCTCCATAATAATCTCCTAGTTTCCCCAATGTAGTAATGGGCTCATATTGGGGGGGTTCCATTTTTCGAATCCTTTAGGGGGTCTGGGCAGGGAATGAAGCAATGGAAGCGAACATCGAAGCTCCCTATTGGAATATACCATTGGGGAGCATGCAGTGTCTACTATAGGGCTCCATCCCCCGTCCCCTGCTAACAAAGCCTAAACCCTAAACCTCTTGTAAGTTGTGGACCCAGTCTATTTCAGGTGGTGTACTTGGAGAGTCAGGGGAACTTAGTAGGTAAATCATTGGGAGAACTTGGGTTATCGTATGGTTTGTAGGGGTTATGTGTATACTTGCTAAGTCCACCTGACCCTCCACTCAGTTGCTACAATAACCCTTAGCGACAGGCTTTGGCAGCATACTCTCGCCGCATCTTCAAACATCCACGTGGATCCTGTGCGAAATCTTCGTTCTTTATATATACATATGTGTCATAATTATTGTTAGTATTGTTACGTGTATTTATTGTTGAGGTTAACCCCTTGTAGTGAGTGCATGATTGGCTAGCTGCAAGCGGTGCTGCCTGCAAAGGGCTTTGCAGATGATGCTGGATCACCGCAACTTTCTGATGCCACTTGGTTGTTCTGAGACCCTGCAGAAGACAGTGCAGTGCGTACGAAACGGGGTTTAGGGTTTAGGGTGTAGGGTGGAACATCGTGAAAATATCACATGCCCTCCCTGAAAAAGCATCTCAAAGATTTCAGGCAAGGACACCATGGCTTATACGCCTACAGTCTATATTTCAGGACCTCAAGTGTACGTAAGGGAGCCCAGCAAGGGAATCCATGAAATCCGTTGTATTCTCCGTGGGGCGCGGGTAAAGTCCGGAACGCCATTATTGATAGGTGCCACAAATAGGAGGAATCCCAGGCCAGTCCCAACTTCCTGTCATCATTCACCCAGGAACCCTAACCCTAAACCACCCACAAGCTTAAGCACATCCCAGCTAGTTGGTCCGGTCATGCTCCATGCAGTGCCCTTTCGCTTGAGTACTGCCCGCACTCAGTAACAGTCTACAGTAGGGGCAAGATTAGCGGATATATATATATAAACATATCATATGTCTTATCCAACTGTTCCTGGGTGGGGTGTGGCCCTAAACCGTATAAACCGCTATAAGCCCCATAAACCCTATCTATAAGCCCTATGAACCCTCTCTAAACCCTATAAACCCTAAACCCAACCCGTAGCCTGAATGACCTTCCTTCCTCTCTTGGCAGGCGTGCTGAAGCGATGTCTGCCAGAGTCTGGATGGCCGATGGAAATGATTTGTAGACGTTTCAGGTTTAGCGGTTAAGGTTTAGGGTTCCAGGACCCTCCTTGTACCCTTAATTGGGGATATATGGTCCCTAATAGTGGGTACTTAGGCCATAATAGAGGGTAGGAGGAGGGTCTAGGTTTAGAGTTTATGGTAAGCCCTTGGATAACCGCCTGTAATGTTGGACCCGCTTTAATATGCCCGACCCCCCCCC